ATGTAAAAGATGTAATCGTGATTAGGTTCCATGTTTTCCCCAGGAAAGTCCCGTACTTTCCTGATTGTTAGTTACAGAACGTGAAAGATGTGAAAGATGTAAAAGATGTAAAAGTGGTTCATTATTACTGTAAGTAAATCTCTGTTATCCTAATTGCGAGTTCCATAACCATACAATAGACTAAAACCTGTGGCAATAAGTAGTCCACATGTGGCAATAAGTCGTCCACATACTTATGACTTTCGTCACCCTTGAACCATTTCGGTTCGGCTGTAGCTAGCAGCCAGGTGTGGGGTAGTCAGCCCCGTATAGATCTATACACTCAAGTCACGCTCTCTAAATACCAGAGATTCTGGTTATGGGTGTAGTCCTCCACTCGCGTAATCTGGGTGGAGTGTTCTCCGAGGACGTGTCTCCAATCATACAGGAATAACAAATTTACTAGTAATAATATGATAGTCCTCCACTCGTGTATGTGTGTGGAGTGTTACCGAGACAAAACAGTATACAAGTATTATGTTCAAATATTTTAATGTCATGCTTTTAACTGATAAAATGTGGAAAGCCATTTGTGAAATATATGTAAAACATACTAGTTTAAAGACCTATTTCACAAATATATGTTACGTGATCTGTATGTTCAATCTGTTATCAGTTGTAGTAATCAGTTATAAAAGCATAAGAATATGAAACACACATTTGAAAACATGTTTTGAGTACAAGAATTCCCTTGTACTTTGCTTGTGTTCCCCCCTGAAAACAGTGAAAAACAGTGAAAAAGGGTAGGGGTATGAACTCACCGGACTCGGAAACGTGTCGGTTTTGAATGCTAGACGTTGGTTCGGGGTTTGATTACTCGCGATGTCCCTATGTAAAATGAAATAATGTCCACATATATATAATTAGGGATACATTCACTAATCATATGGAACATTACACTCCAATGAGGTTAAACACCTCAAAACGAACGTTTGGAGTGACCCGGGTGACATCTTCGGACGTGTAATGGCACTAGGGACTTGGGACTTGAGTTTACTCCCCAAGAGTAAACATTTTAAAGAGTTTACAACTATGGAACACACACATACATGAGTTTACGGCCGTAAACTCATGTGGGTGTGGTTTTGATGATTTAAGGGCTCAAATGGACATAGGGATTGCTAGAATGGATTATCTAAAATGCCTTGGAACACTTGGAATGAATTTACATCATTTAAAACATGAGTTTACGGCCACACTCATAGAGTTTACGGCCGTAAACTCACCCATGGCTAAGAATGGTTAATTTGAACTATTAGGGCAATCACATGTGATTCAAACTAATTTTCTAAGCATTGTTATGAATTTAGATTACCATTTTACAAACTTATAGGAGTTTACGGCCTAGGAGGAGTTCTTTGGCCGTAAACTCACTTATGTAGGGTATATGTTGTGTTTAAGGTCTCCAAACCATTTTTAGATGAATCTAGGATTTACCACAAAGCCATTGGTTGAGTTTGAAAGCATTTTGACATGTTTTAAGGCATTAAATCACCCTTTTAGAGGAGTTTACGGCCCAAGAGTATGTCTTGGCCGTAAACTCACTTTTATTACTCAAAAATCAAGTTTAAAGTGTTCCAAGTCTAGATTAGCAAGCCCAAAGGTCATATCTAAGTCCCAACTATGATTTGGAAGGGTTAATTGGCTCAAAAACCCTTTGAATATGAGTTTACGGCCCAAGAATGATCCTTGGCCGTAAACTCCTTCAAACCTCATAAAATTCATGTTTTAATTGTTTAGAGTCCATATCTTGAAGTCCCTTGGCCATATCTAAAGTCCAAATGAGTTTAGGAAGGAGTTTAAGGGCTTAAAACCCTTCAAATTGGTGTTTACGGCCTAGGCATGCTCCTGGGCCGTAAACTCACATATGTTGTCCTATTTTATGATTAAATGTCGAATTTGGAAGCCAAACATGCTATAGATTAAGGCTAGGAAGGTACCTTAGAGATTTGAAGCCTTAAATTTGAGTTTTGATCCCTTAAACTTGGATTAGGAGAGAGGTTTGGTAGTGTTTAATGGTAAATTGACCAAAGGCTTCAAATGGAGTCTTAAACACGTTTATATAGTGTTTAAGTTTTGGACACGGTGGAATTCTACCCGATACCGATGTTAGACGAGGCTTTTGGTCGTACCCGATTGAGTTACCGTAACCCGATACGGTAATTTCTAGAAATATTCCGATCACTAAAGTTGGGTGTTAAAATGATTTCTAAATGTATTAAGACACCCATTAAGTCATTTTAAATGTGTACTAAATAATGACTTAATTATACGGAAGATCGGAAATCAAATTTGGAATGACGATTGGTTGTGCGAATTGTACTACGAAAGAGTTACAATAAAATGATACGGAAATTTCGGGTTGTTACATTATCCCCCCGTTAAAGGGAATTTCGTCCCGAAATTCAAGTTTAGAACATAAGACAAGATACAAATCATGGATAAGAAAAGAGTTGTGGATACTTCTGTTTCATTGAATCTTCCCGTTCCCAAGTGAATTCCGGTCCCCGCTTGGCATTCCAGCGAACCTTCACTAACGGGATGCGACTTTGTTTTGTACGTTTGACTTCTCGATCCATGATTTCGATCGGTTCCTCCACAAAGTTGAGGTTTTCATTGATCTCGATCTCGTCTAAAGGAATTGTTAGGGTTTCATCGGATAGGCACTTTTTGAGATTTGAAACATGGAAGACAGGATGAATGTTACTGAGTTCGTGAGGTAAATGAGTTTATAGGCAACTGGACCGATCCTGGAAGGATCTCAAAGGGTCCAATGTACCTTGGATTAAGTTTCCCACGCTTACCAAAGCGTACAGTGCCTTTCCAGGGCGAGACTTTTAACAGAACACGGTCTCCAACCTGGAATTCTAGTGGTTTCCGACGATTATCAGCGTAACTCTTTTGACGATCACGTGAGGCTTTCAGTCGGTTACGGATTTGAATGATCTTTTCGGTGGTTTCACGGATGATTTCAGGACCAGTGAGAGCACTGTCGGGGACTCGACTCCTGGCTAACTGTGTATCCCCCACCTCGGCCCAGCACAGAGGGGATCTGCACTTACGACCGTATAGGGCTTCGAACGGAGCAGCCCTAATGCTGGTGTGGTAACTGTTGTTGTACGAGAATTTCGATCAAGGATAGATGTGTATCCCACGACTTTCCAAAGTCAATGACACATGCCCTAAGCATGTCTTCCAGGGTTTGGATTGTTCTCTCACTCTGTCCATCGGTCTGAGGATGATATGCCGTGCTCATATCTAGTTTGGTTCCAAGGGCTTTCTGAAGGGATTGCCAGAATCTGGAGGTAAACCTACTATCTCGATCAGAGATAATGGATACAGGTACACCGTGTAGACGTACTACCTCCTGGATGTAGATTCGTGCGAGTCTCTCCATCTTGTATGATTCTTTGATCGGGATGAAGTGAGCGGATTTTGTCAAACGATCGACAATTACCCAAATGGTATCGTACCCACTAGAACACTTGGGTAGTTTGGTGATGAAGTCCATGGTAATCATCTCCCATTTCCACTCGGGAATCTCGGGTTGTTGGAGCAGACCTGAAGGCTTCTGATGTTCGACTTTGACTTTGGCGCAAGTCAGACACTTGCCCACGAATGTAGCTATCTCAGCTTTCATGTTTGGCCACCAGTACTGTTTCTTGAGATCCAGGTACATCTTGTCCGAACCCGGGTGAACAGAGTATTTGGTTCTGTGTGCTTCCTGCATGACTATTTCCCTGAATCCTCCGGATTTGGGAATCCAGATTCGATTCATGAAACAGTGAACTCGTCACCTCTAATCTCAAGTTTCTTTTCCATCCCTCTCAAGGTTTCATCTGACACGTTCTCGGGTTTGAGGGCTGTTAACTGGGCTTCTCGGATTTGTATGGGTAAGTTGGAATGGATGG